GACCGCCGCCCGAGGTGTCGGCGGCTCAGCGCCCGGCGCCCGGGGTGCGGGCAGCACCCGACGTCCCGGCCTCGGGGGCGCGGGCTGCGGCTTCCGGGTGGTCGCCTCCAAGGGCTTTGTCTCTCCCCGTCCCGGGGCCCGGGGACCTGGCGGCCGCGCTCGCGGGCTGTGGCCCCCGCAGCCGTCGTGTTCGGCCTCTCTCTGCCGGCGCCCCGTCTGGGCCCAGAGCCTCTGGCTGGGCGCCTCCGCTCCTCCAGGTTTCTGGCAGAGTGTCTGTCCCCGCGCCGCCTCGCGCAGGTTGTCCTCGGCTCTCGGCGTCCCTGAGTCTCCATCCGTCTCTGGTATTGTGTCTCTGGCTCCACGTCTGTCTCCCCCAGGGGGTCCCCCTGTCTCTCATCTCTCGGTGTCTCTGGTCCGCCTCTCTCTTTTTCGTTTGCTTTTCCCTCTATCTTTTGCTCGACCTCTCCCTCCCCCGCCCCAGCTTCTCCGTGTCTCTCGGCTCTCTCGTTTTTATTCTTTCTCTTTATCGCTCACATAGTCTCTCTCCCCCAAAGGTTTTATCTGCCTCTTGATGTCTCTTATCTGCTTCCCTTTTTCGTTCTCTCTCTTTCTGCCTCTCGATCTCTGCCCCACGCCCGTTTTCTCTGTCTCTTGGTGTCTGTGATGCCCCTCTCTTTTTTTCGTTCAATCTCTCTCGTTCTCTATCTTCGCACCCTCCCAAAACGCCCCCAGGTTTTCTCTGCCTCTCTGTGTCTCTGACTCGCCAGCGATGTCTCTGCCCCTCTCGGTTTTCGTTGTCTCTGTCTCCCCGTTGACCCGCGTGGATCGCTGTCTCGCGCTCTTGTTTCTACCCCTTTGTGTTTCTCCCAGTCCCTGCTCCCTGGTCTCTGCTGGGTCCCCAGAGCCCTCGAGCCCTGAGCCCCACTCCGCCAGGGTTCATTGGCGTGGCCCCGGGCCCGAACCCATCTCATATGCACAGAATCAGGGTTTTGTTCCTAGACGAACCGAATCCTCCTTGAAGTGCATGGAATCCCAGGGCCCTCGATTGGGCGCAGCTGGGGGGACCCGGCCCTGGTGGAGCGAGCAGAGCGTGGGCCCCGGCGCCGGAAATGCTCTGGGCGCACCCTAGTAGGGGACTGCTCCAAGGCGCCATGAGGGTGGCCTGCCACGGGCAGAGCGGGGAGCTGTCTTGGGGGCAGGGCCCTGGCCGGCGAGGAGGGTGGTGGCGGTGGCGCGGCGGTGGTCTTGCAGGGCGCTCAGGACCCGGGTTGGCGGGGCCACCCTCGGCGTCCCGTGCTGGTGACTGGTGCCGGTGACTCTCTTCGCTGCTCCGCAGGCGGACGCCGCGGGCATGGACTATTCGTACGACGAGGACCTGGACGAGCTGTGCCCCGTGTGCGGGGACAAGGTGTCGGGGTACCACTACGGACTGCTCACGTGCGAGAGCTGCAAGGTGAGCGGAGCAGGGCGGCTGCGAGGATGTGGCGGGGAGCAGGCAAAGTGGGGGTGCGGAGAGGAAAGTGGGGAGCTGGAAGGGAGACCGGGCCCAGCACGCTGACTCCCCTCTCCCCCAGGGCTTCTTCAAGCGCACAGTGCAGAACAACAAGCACTACACGTGTACCGAGAGCCAGAGCTGCAAGATCGACAAGACGCAGCGCAAGCGCTGCCCCTTCTGCCGCTTCCAGAAGTGCCTGACGGTGGGCATGCGCCTAGAAGGTGCGGTGCCCGAGGGCCCGACCCCCAACCCGGCCTCTGATGCTGCCGGGGAGGGGCTGTGCCTGAGAGATGGGGTCGGAGAGGTGGTGCGATAAGGGTCCAGGTGACCTTCCAGAAGCTTCTAGGGCTGGCTGGCTGAGTGGCCCTGTCCTTGCTGTGGAGTTCTGGTGGTGTGTGTGTGTGTGTGTGTGTGTGTGTGTGTGTGTGTGTGTGTGTGTGTGTACAGGGTGGGGAAGGAGGTGGTACCTGCAAGGGATGCGGGAGTGGAGAAGTAATCAGAAGAGGACAAAGGAAAGGGACCCCACCACAAGGTGTGGGAACCTGTCCTCTTCCAGCTAGATAGCAGGAGTCTAAGACCTCAACCCACACACACACAGATGCCCAGCACACCAAGACTGTCAACCTCCTTCCTAGGGACTGAATCCCAGAGATTCTGTTGACACACAGGTCGGGGTTGGTGGTACTAGACAAGTTCCAGAGTCCCTATCTGAAAAGGGACCTAATAGAGGGTCTTCCTTCTGGAGTTAATGTGAGGGCTGACCAGATGCATGAAAAGTGACTGCTGGGCAGGTTAGTGCGTGTAACCATCCGTCATTGTACTATTGTCTGACCACCTCTGCTGGCCAGCCCCTTGCCCATCCAGCCTGCCATCCTGTGTAAGCAGGCACCCACGCAAAGCCTTCATGCAGTCCTGCTTGCTCTTCACTGAACCGCTGAGATCCCTTCTCACCTCATCCTTAGCTGCACCCCGGGGAGTGGAGGAAATCATTGCCCCCCTTCCCATCCTTGCTTCCCCACCCCCAACCCCAAGTTTAGCAGTTCAGCGTGGTAGGTTTCAGCAGGGCAGGGCTTTCAGCAGGGCAGGCTTGGGCTCTTGGAGAGTGGACAGATGTGGCGCTCCACCCTGCTGGCCCCAGCCGAGCTGTGTGCTGATCAGGCAGCTGTTAGCCAAAGTTTGTGAGCAATTTAGAAGGGCTCTCCTGGCTCTGAGAGCTGTAGACCACATGCCCTTACACCTAGAGGAGCGACTCCTGCATAGAAGGCTGCCCTCTCCTGTGCTCTGAGGTCTTGTCCTCAGCTCCAGGTCCTGGTGGGCCAGGAGAACTGGTTGGGTGTGGGCAGCCAAGAGCCCTGGAAGAGCTGCTAGCGGGTGAGGAGCGGGGCTGCTCCACTGGTGGTGGAAAGATTGGCTGCACACACACACACACACACACACACACACACACACACACACACACACACCGCCCCTGCCACCTCCCCAGGCCATCATCTCTTGCTTTCTCCCACTTCCTGAAGCCCAGAGCTGAGCTGGAGCTGGGGCCCAGATCCAGTTGCAGAGATACACCTGTTGAGTCCCACTGGGTGGCACATTCTTGACTGGGAGGAGGAACATCTGGTCAGCAAGAGAGGTCCCCTTCCTGTACATAGGGCCCTGGCCAGCCCGAACCCCCACTTCCAAGCCTCAGTCACTTTGCATCAGGGCTTCCCCAAAGTCGGGCCATCAGTCCACAGGCAGCCCGATGCAGCAGCTGTGGAGGAGGCAGGAGCTGGTGGGGTACACAGGGCCTTCGGGCAGTGGGGGCCATGTAAAGGTGTTGTCCCAAGGAGTGGGGCAATGTGGAGGGATACTTGGAGGGGTGGGGCCTGACACCCTGCCCTTCCCCGCAGCTGTGCGTGCTGACCGCATGCGGGGAGGCCGGAACAAGTTTGGTCCCATGTACAAGCGGGACCGGGCCCTGAAGCAGCAGAAGAAGGCACAGATTCGGGCTAATGGCTTCAAGCTGGAGACAGGTCCCACGATGGAGATCCTGCCGCCACCCCCTCCCCCACCAGACTATACGTTGCCCCCTGGCTTGCACACACCTGAGCCCAAGGGCCTGCCCCCTGGCCCACCTGCTGGGCCACTGGGTGACTTTGGAGCCCCGGTGTTGCCCATGACCGTGCCCAGTACCCATACCCATGGGCCTCTGGCTGGCTACCTCTACCCTGCCTTCCCTGGCCGCACCATCAAGTCTGAATACCCAGAGCCCTACGCCAGCCCCTCGCAGCCTGGGCCACCCTACAGCTACCCCGAGCCCTTCTCCGGGGGGCCTGGCATGCCTGAGCTCATCCTGCAGCTGCTACAGCTGGAGCCTGAAGAAGACCAGGTGCGGGCGCGCATCCTGGGCTGCCTGCAGGAGCCAGCCAAAGGCCGCCCTGATCAGCCGGCCCTGTTCGGCCTCCTATGTAGGATGGCTGACCAGACGTTCATCTCCATCGTGGACTGGGCACGCAGGTGCATGGTCTTCAAGGAACTGGAGGTGAGTCCCTCCACCACCCCATCCCCCACCACCTGCCTGGCCACTAGATCAAGCATGTCCCCTGAGCTCTGCTATCCCTTGGGATGGGACTGTCTTGCCTGATTGGTTTCAGGCATCAGGGGACAGAGAGGCCCCCCCTCGGGATACAGAAGAGCACTTCTGGCCCATTCCCTCCTCCCTCTGCCTGCGTGCTTGCTCTCTCTCTCTCTCCCTCCCTCCCTCCTCACCTCTCCTTCCTCATCCTTTCTTTTTTGAGGGCCACTAGCCTCCCAGCTGTTGCTCCTCTCTCCCGCCCCCTCCCCTCTGTGTTTCCAGCTGCCTCTTCCTCTGACACCCCAGGCTGCTCCAGACGACTTGCTGAGTCCTTGAAGAGACTGTCTCTGGCTGTCCCAGCCCAGTGTCAGAAAGGGGGTCAGATCCATCCTGTCCTCCCACTCAGGGAGGCCATCAGTCCCTGTCATCCTCCAGTGTTGTAGACGTGGGTCTTAGTGCCTCAGTTAGTGCCTGTGAGCCTTCTCACTCCCAGACAGGAGCTTCCTGCTCCTGTGACTCCACCACAGGACTGGTGTGTGCCCGTGTGCGTGTGCGTGTGCGAAGAGCTAGGTGGGTGGGCGGATGGGAGAGTGCATGGCATGCCACTGATCTTGAATGAGGCCATCTTCTCCTACTACAGTACTTTCCTTTACTCAGTCTAGGGACCTGAGGCAAAAAGAAGCTGGAAAGCATCAGGGGAAACCGAGGCCAGACACAGGGAAGGACTTCCCAGTCATCCTATCTAGAAGGGCCTAAGGTCCTCTAGTGCCCTGGCTCCTTAGGACCCCACCCCAACCAAGGCCCATTTCCTCCTGGCCCAGGCCCAGGCCAACCCCCTGGGGGGTTGGGAGCTGGGTGTGGACAGCAGGCCGTCACCCTCAATGCTGGGGCCACTGCAGCCTTGAGCAGCATTGCCGGTGCTGACGTCACCGGGTTTGGGCTTCCTCCAGGACTGGTAACCGGATGGGCTGGGGGCACTGCTGGCCCAGGCCGAGCATGAGGGTGGGTAAGGTGGGATTTGGGCCCTGGGGGCACCACGGAGCCAGAGGCCTGGTGACTCTGGGAGTCAGGAATGGGTGGCAGTAGTCTCTGCTTCTACTATGGAGGGCTTGTCATGGCTGTGGTGGTGTGCCACCTGTCTACCATGCGGTGGACGTCTCTATCTCACACTGTCCCCTGTCCAGGCCGACCTCGTGGAGAGGGCCTTGAGCATCCCCATCTGTCTTCCATTCCTGGCTGGAGGTCCCAGGAGGCCCTGTGCGGAGGGAAGGAGGAGTGGAGCACTCCTGAGCTTCCAGAACCACAGATCGCTTGCGGGCAGGGCACTTCCTCTGGCTGCCTTCCTTGTGTCCTGGGTTTTCACGCAGGATGGGAAGGGCTTTTGTCCCAGCTTTGCTGAGTGTTTTTTCCTGCTCTGGCTTCTCAGTGGCCCAAACCTTCCTGCTTCCTCTTCGTAGAGTTTCGGAATCGAACCAGGACTCCGAACCAGGGTCACCACTTTCTAGGAAGGAGATTTGCAGACAGAGCCCAGTTCAGCTCAGCCCTGAGAGGGACTCCTCGGCCTGGGCCCTGCGGCAGGTCTTCCCCACTGGCCCAGTGGGCTCTAGGCTAGTGCTGATTTTGCAGTCAGAAGTGGGGTAGCAGAAAAGTAGAAAGGGTATTGACTGATTCCCCACCCCCACCCCCTGCCACCCCCCACTCCACCACCCCCTACCTCTTGGCAGGGCACGTGTCTGTACACAGAAGAGGGCCCTGAGACTAGAGCAGGCCTTGGCTGGGCCCTGGGGACCTTGAAAGGAATTGGGTCTAGGAAGTTGCCAGACTAGAAGAGGAGGCAGACACATATACAGAGGTAACGCCCATCCAAGGTGCCCAGGTGGCTGTATCTGAGGAAGTCAGGGAAGGTTTCTTTGGTCTGTACCTTTCACAAACCTGACCCAGGTCGCGGAAAGAGTAGAGGCTAAGAGCCAGGAGTTCGAACAGGCTTCGTGTGTGTAAGGAATCCTGTATGGTCCTGGTGGGCAGGACTGGAGAGGTCCCTGGCAGGGTTTGGATCCGCAGTGGCTCCTTTGCCAGTGGGTGAGGGGCCCCACATCCTGAGCCAGGGCTTGAGTGGTCCCCACAGTTCTCCACAGGGCTGTGGGCATCGGGCTGTGCTGGGGGGTGCTGGCTCATGACTGAGCTCTCAGGGCTGCCTGGCTGTATCTGAGCCTTGCCTCGCCTGCCTCAGTGGGCTCTTCCATCTCCATTTTCTTTCTCTGTTGAGTGGTGGGGGTCTCTGTCGCTTTGTTTTTGCCTAGCACAAGCAGAGCGTGGTAGATCTGACAGTGGCACAGAAGTGTGTAACAAAGTCCAGAGTCAGAAAGACCTGGGTTCGAGTGTTAGCTCTGCCAATTAATTAGATGTGTAGCCTTCAGCAGGTGGCTTTCTGCCTCTGGGCCTCTGTTTCCTTAGCTATAAAATGGGTGGTGTTGAAATAAGATCAGGGGATGTTGTAAGGGCTTAGTGAACTAGGACAGAAAGAGAATTTAGCATGGGGACCAGCACAAGATAACACTTCAATACAGGATGGCAGCAATGTGTTTCCTTACCATTCTCTGCTGCTACACAATGTAGCCTCTACTTGCAGGCGGTAGAGGCTGGTGTTGTACAAAGAGTTTACACTCAACTATTAGGCAAAGGGTGTCATGACAGAAAGGCTGGCAATCTGCTGCCATCAAGATCACAGCCAAGGAAACTCTCAGGACCAGCTCCAGTCTGTAACACGTGGGACAAACATGCACCAATCAGCCTAATGGCAGCAGTTTGTTTCATTCTTATCATCCACGTTCTGGCGGTGTAGTGGGTTGTTACACATTGACCTGCTAACCAGCAAGTTCGGATGTTCAAACCCACCGGCTACTTCACAGGAGAAAGCTGAGGCTGTCTAATCCCGTAAAGATTCAAGGGGCAGTTCTACTCTGTCCTACAGGGTTGCCGGGAGTCAGAATCGATTCAAAGGGAGGAGTTGGTTGGTTCTGTCCCTCTGAGCACACCAGAGTTCTGGGAGAAGCTGGATGCCGCCACTCACCAACCCCCAGACCTGGGTTTCCAAGAATAAACAATTTCTTACCTGCAAAGCATCAGAACCTCTCCCTGCTGCTCAGTGGGAACAGGGCCCTGAGCCTGACAGGCTGAGTCCCCAGACAGTTACCTTGAAGGACAGGCTGAGCGGGTAGGAGATAAGGACCAGGGAGGGGGAGGCCAGGGCAAGAGTGCCTAGTGACCCATCTTGACATCAGTTCATCCTTAGTGTCCGGTACCAAGGCTCTGATTGACAACGGATTTAACTGCCTAGAGTGATGGTTTCGTTTAATCAGCAGTAATCCTGTCAGCCTGGACTGACAAACGGCGACCCGAGGACCGTGCGGCGCGAGAGCACCCTGGCCAGCCCGTGGCGTGTCAGCCATGGGAGAATTACCGAGCCTGCTGGCCTTCGACCGCCAGGCTGATCAGACCCCAGGGGGTTCTGGTGGGGGCCCTGCAGGGAGGGAGGTCAGCTCAGCCCCCATAAATACCCCGACTCCGAGGCAGGCTGCAAAGTGTCACGTCTCCAGGAAGATTTGTGGTGGGCCAGCAAGAGGACTGGGCAGCTGAGAGGCCAAATAGCCAGGAAGGGCCCTGAGAGGACCCCTGGTCTGGGACTGTTCCCAGGCTGTCCGCAGGCTGGTCGGGGGAGAGGGGGCTGGGACTGAGGCTAGAGGAGGCACCTTTAGCTTTTAGAGGAAACTTCTGAGTTTGAAACCAGCCCTTTTTGGTCAAGGGAACCTCTTAGCCACCTGCTTTCTCCCGGGAAGGGGCTGGCGCCTACAGCCCTCTAGTTTCCGTTAGATAAAAAGAGAAGTGCGTGTGCTCATCTGCGGGGCCGGGGTTTTGGAGTTCAGTGTCTTTATGTGTCCATCTGTCTATCCAGGTGCAGAAACAACTCCTGGCAGAAAAGACTGCTCGGCCAGGGACTGGGTGGGACCCAGGGCTGAGGCTGTACCCCAGACAGCTGTGGGCACAACAGTGGGTCCACAGAACCTTCTGTGACTGACATGGGTTCAGAAATTGGCTTTCGTCGAAAGAGGGCGGATTTCTCTTTGCGGTTCTCAGAACAGAAACGGGCAGAGGAAGATGCATGGCTGAGCAGGGACTGAATATGGGACCACGAACCACCGAAGCGTTTGTCCCCACTTTGCAGCTCACGTGGCTCTACTGGGCAAGGCGACCCTCTCCCAGGGTCTGAGGTTTGCTGAAGAGACTGCTCCCAGGGCTTGGCCAGCCGGGTCACTGTGACCCCTGCTGCTTTCTGCCTGCAGTGCAGTCTTCTTATCTCCTAATGCTCCCAGTTATCTCCTGCTCTTCCACCCTCTTGCTCTTTCCATCTGGGCCCAAGGGTGCCTCCTCCCAAGGACCCACAGTAGGTGAGCTTATCAGGGCCCAGCTCCACACTCCACCTGGGCAATTGAGGTGGGTCAGGGATTTTCTCAGTGTGACTCCCCCCAGCCCCCATCCCAGCAGTCACCTCCTACTTGGGTCTCAGGCCATTGCCAGGAAGGCATGGAGGGGACATCTGGGCACAGCCTCCATTTTCTGGAGTGTACAGTGACTAGCACCTCCGTGCCTTGTTGGGGGAAAGGTGAGGGGTCCCTGAGGGTGCTGAGCTGTGCCTGGCAGGGCAGGTCTTCAGGGCCTCCCCCCTGGAGACCAGCTGGCTACTCTCTGGGGACTGATCACTGGCCGTCTCCTTCTTGGGCAAACGAAGGAGAGCCCACCCTGGTTTTTAGTCTCTCTGCCCCTTTTCACCTAGGTTAGCCTTCCCCAAGAGAGAGAAGGGGGGAGATGTAGTGAAGGGGGTGAGGAGGCTGTGATTCAGAGAGGAGCAGAGAAGGACCCTCTCTCATGTCCTCCTGCCATGTGGGCTAGGACAGAGCCTGGTGGGCCAGGCAGAAGGAAGTCTGTCTGTCATCCACTTGCTCTTCCCTGTTCAGTCTCCCCTTTCTCTCCCTGTCTGCCCGAGGACAGCCCCAGGTAGCCCCCAGGAGGAGGAAGAGAGCGCTGTCCTAAGACCCCCACCAGGTCCCTGTGGAGCAGGTGGCCCTGACTTGAAGGGACCAGGAAGGACTTCATGAAGGGACAGGAGCGTGAGGGACTATAAACTCCTGGGTTTCGAGGGTGGGGTCTTCTTTCATGGCCTAGTGGTTAAAAACCAGGTAGTGCGGTGCGACCTTGGGCAGGGTGCTTGACCTCTCTGTGCTGTTTCCTGTCATTGTCTGATGCTGGGTGCTGTTGAGTGGGTTCAGACGCATGGCGACCTGACGTGCAGCAGGAGGGGACACCACCCGGTCCCTCATGGCCCTTAGACGAAGGTTAATCACCGTTACAACCTCACAGGGCTCTAGACCAGTGGTTCTCAACCTTTGGGTCGTGACCCCTTTGGGAGTCGAATGACCCTTTCACAGGGATCACTTAAGACCATATTTCCGATGGTCTTAGGAACTGAGAAACCGCTCCTTTATCCGTGTCCAGGTGGGTCTGCCCACATGCAGATACCCCCACACACGGGGTCCCCACAACACGAGGACCTGTAAGAAAGGGTCGCAGCATCAGGAAGGTGAAGAACCGCTGCTCTAGAGCAAGGACGCTATGCTATCCTGACCTGCCTTGACCACAGGGTCTGGCCCCGGAGGGGCCCCGGGAAGCCCCTGAAGGCTGCGTTGCAGCTATAGAGAGCGGCTGGGTGAGTGGTGGGCTTCTTTGGGTCACTGGTGCGCAGCACCTGGTCTGGTCTGCACACGCAGAGGCTGGTGTTGGTTACAAGGGAGAGTCTCGGACCAGGCGTGTTAACTGTGAACTGGAGCAGGCCCTGCCTCTGTGGGGCCCAAGTGTCACTCAACCTATGAAATAGGGCCTGGGCCAGGAGGTCCCCTAGGACTCTCTGGCTCTATTGGTCCAAAGTTCTGGGTCCAGGTTGTCATTGTCAGCAACGCCTGCCCTTCCCGTGCTGAACGGTCGCAGAGTCGAAAGGCTCCACCCCGGGCAGTGGGCAGGCCACATGCTCTTAGCTGTGGATCTCAGCGTCTGCCCCATCAATTTTTTGTCTCTACCCCACTGGCACTGCCCTCCTGCCCACTGATGGAAGCCCTCTGCTGTGGCTTTCTGGCTCCATTGTGAAAGGCCCAGGCTGCAGCAGGGTGACCCGGGGGATGCTGTGAATACCATGATGCGGTGGAAGGGTCAAACCACTGTCCTGAGTCTGTGCGCGACCATCCTCTAAGTACTCAGCCCACTTGACAACGGAGAAAATGGAGGCCCAGGAAGGTTTGGGAACTTGCTTCCATGTTTACACCTTGTCAGAGGCAGCCCGGGCCCTGCTGGGGTCCCTCTTGGATGATTTTGTTCGTCCCCCTCATAAAGTGGTCAAATGAAAAAAAAACTGGGAGAGAGAAGCTAGGTATCAGGTCCAAGGGTACCTCACCGGTTGGGCCTCTGACTGAGGTGGGAGGTGAGACCATGGCTCTTCCTTCCAGGTGGCTGACCAGATGGCGCTGCTACAGAACTGCTGGAGCGAGCTGCTGGTGTTCGACCATGTCTACCGCCAGATCCAACATGGCAAAGAGGGCAGCATCCTGCTGGTCACGGGCCAGGAGGTGACCGCCCGCCCGCCCCATGCACCACCAGAATCTGGGCCCCTCTCCAGGCCTGGCCCCGGCCACCCTGGTTATCAGCCCCTTTGCCAAACTCAGGCACCCACTGTCCTTGTGACCAGCCCTGGGCTGGATGCCAGGACCTCTAGGAAGAGCCAGCTGTGGCCTGGCCTCAGAGGAGCCATACTGGGGGTGTGAGGTGCTTGGGGAAGAGCTGCTGGGGTGCCGGATCTTGAAAGGATCAACAGGTGCTTGGTCAGGCAGGGACATCTGGGTGAGGGCCAGACCCTACCTCCATCACAGGCAGGGGAACCACAGGGACAGAGGTGCAGTGGACCGGGCCCCCAGGGTCAGCCAGTCGGGGTGAGGGATGAGGCTGGCGGGGTTGGAAAAGGCTGGCCTGCTGGACCTCAAGTGCAGATGCTGGGCACTGCAGGGGGCTTTCTGCATAGGTGGCCAGGTTGTATTTGAGGTGGCATGCTGAGGGGCAAGATGGGGGTGTGTGGGGAACAAGTGGGGACAACCACACAACACTCAGAGGTCTGGGGCCAGGGGTGGGGGAGACACCTTCAGGGAGGAAGACACCCCCCCCACACACACACACCCACCCAACAGGGGAGGCAGGTGTAGCAGACAGAGAGGGAGGGAGGAGAGAGGGAGACAAAAACGGAGGCTCTAGTTGGTATTGGGGAACAGGAGGGAGAATGGGGGAGGCCAGGGCTGAAGCTCTGGGGCCCACTCCCAGTGCCCTAGTCTCTCCGCCATGGGTCTCTGCCCTCTCTGCTTCTCTCCCAGTTCTCACCTTCAGAGACTCCCAGGGGTGGGCGGTGGGGAATACTGGTGCCAAGGACTCAGGGACCACAGGCGAGCACAGATGAGGGGGCGTGTAGGGGGTGGGGGTGGGGTTGTGTCAGTGGGGGGTGTTGAAGTATCTGAGGCCATGGCTTAGGTGTGTGCACAAGTGTTCGTGTCCATGGTGTGTGTGTGGGCTGCAGGGGGGGGGGGCGTTGTCTGTGCCTGCCACCTTGTACATGGGAACGCTCCCCCTGTGACCCTGTGTACCTGGAGTGAGTCTGTGTGTCTGCTCCCTTCCTTGAGAGTGTGTGTCTGTTGGGTACTCTGAGAACATGGCCATACTGTGTGTGTGTGTGTGTGTGTGTGTGTGATTGTGTGTGCATGTTGGTATCATGAAGTGGGCGCACTAGCCTGTAAACGTGTGTGTGCGCACGCATGCGTGTGTGAACCTCTACTCCCGAGTGTCTGCGTGTGAGTGTGTGGGGCCCCAGGTGGTTCTGGGGACAGGTCCAACCTGCCTCCCCCACCTCCTCCCACCCCCAGTGCAGCGTGGTGCGCACTACAGGCAAGCACACAAAAGCCGGTTGTAGCACAGGCCTGCAGCAGCTCTTTGTGTGTGGAGGGCTCTCCAGCTCTCCACCTGTCACCCGCCGGCCGGGTGTGTCGTGGGTTCCACCGCAGCCCTGGCCAGGAGTGGCAGCGGCAGGCAGGCCACAGGTCCCGAGGAGCATTGAGGAGGTGGTGGGGCTCAGAGGGGTCCTGGGCCCTGAGGAGATGCTGCCTCCCACTAGGCTCAGCTTCAGGGCTGGTCAGATACTTCCTGACCCCAACCCCATTTGACTGGCAACCCCTGACCCATGCCCTCTCACCTACATCCCTGATCAGAACCTCTTGCCTCCAGCTGCTTACTCACTGCTTCCTGACCAGTGCCCTCTGACCCGCCCACCAGGTGGAGCTGAGCACGGTGGCAGCCCAGGCAGGCTCCATGCTGCACAGCCTGGTGCTGCGGGCACAGGAGCTGGTGCTGCAGCTGCATGCACTGCAGCTGGACCGTCCAGAGTTTGTCTGCCTCAAGTTCCTCATCCTCTTCAGCCTTGGTGAGTGCAGGCTGGGAGGGGAGGGGCAAGGGAGGAAGGGAGGGGCGGGGAGAGGTGGCTGGGCCAGGGCCTCATTCAGGGCATAGCCAGAGTGGCCAAGGAAGGTGGACCTGGCAGCCCCAGTGGGGACAGCGGGCCCCTTCCTCAGTGAATAAGGGTGTAAAGAGACCTGGCCCTTTTAAAGGGGTCACTTTCTCTGTCCAGAGCACAGGGAGCCAGGATAGGGCCTAAGGCCTTGGGCACACAAGGAGCCCTGCTGAGACTCTAGTAAATGCCTGGCGGAATGCTCTCGAAGTGCCCATGTCACCTGAGAAAATGTGCGTGGGGGGGTTTCTGTTCTCCAGCTCCCGCCGTGGCTCCTGAGGCCCAGTGCTTGCTCTCAGAGGCAGGGCCACATTCTGACTCTGAGCAATTTGAGACTCAAACCTCTTCATCCATCCGTCCACAATCCGTATGCCCATCAACCCTCAATTAATCCATCCATCCATCCATTCATCTATTAATCTATCCATCCATTCACCCATTTATCTGACCATCAGTCAGTCTATCCATCCATCCATCTATCCATCCTACACAACTTTGCTCAGTACCTGTCCTGTGCCAGGCAGGAATATGATATACAGGGAACAAAAGAGTCCAGAGAATCTCTGCCCTCCTAGAGCTGATATTCTCATTGGGAGAGAGACAACAAACATAAATATGATTAGCGATAAATGTAAATAATTAGCACAGGAAGTGGCTAGTACACAACTCTACCAGAAGAAGAGGGTGTTAAATGCTAAGGCGGAAAATAAAACCAGAAAAGGCTGAGGGCAAGCCCAGCCCACCAGCTCCCCTTAGCCCCTCCAAATCTGGTGTTCCTTTCTCTTGGTCTCTCTGATCCCCACCAAGCCTGTCCCCACCCTCCCTCTGGGCTTCCATTTGGCCTGCTCTATTCTGTCCTCTTCCACCCAGGAAGCTGCTGCCCAATGATGCTATGGACTTAGGGGGTATTGCTTGCTTCCAGAGAGCGCCTCCAGCCCCATGTAGTCGGCGCTAAGGAAACCCTGGTAGAGGACAAGGGCTCAGTCTGGAAGGTTCCTGGGAGAGGACCAGCTGAGTCAGTCGGTTGGTCTTGGAAGAGCAGTAGGAGTTTGCTGGGTGCACAAATCTTTTGGCAGAGGAACAGGTGAGATGGGAAGTTGGAGCAGAGGGGCCTGGTGCCGCCTCCCCTGGGGAGGGGTGGGACTCGGAGATCAGCTCCGTGGCAGATGGCTTCATAGTTGCAGCTAGTGAGGGAGAAGGGAGGAGCTGGAGAGGTGGAAGGGAAGCAGGGAGCTGGGCTGGTGGAAAGTCTGGTGCTCAGGTGGAGTGGTGGGTATCTGCCAAGTAGGTACAGTGGACTGGCTAGGTCTCTTGACTCCAGAAGAAATTCCCAAAAGACTGCCTGCAGCCTCCTCTCTGGTCATTGATGGATAACCATGGTGGTGGTTGGGCAGGCTGGGGGCTGTGGCCTGCAGCCCTGGTAGGAGCCTCAGGGGTCCAGTCCAGGCTGCAGCTTAGGAGAGCCCCACTCCATGTCTGCCTCTAGCCAGTATCCTTCCAAGGGTAGTGGTGCTCGGGAAACAACCCCTGATGTGGGTAGGTGGGTGGGGAGGGGGACTGTGTGATTGTGGGTGTGGAGGTCCCTGCGTGTCGGTCCCCATGTCTTTTTGTGACTGTACGTGCCTGTGGTTTTTGTGTGACACATGGTGTGAATGATCTGTGCATGGTCGGGGAGTAACTGGGCAGATTTGGGGATCTGGAGGGGCAGGCAGTGCTTGGGCGCCACGGCATTGGAGGGTGAGGCCTGGGGGTTGTGAAGCGATAGCTCCTGACCTGACTGCAGGTGAGCCATCCTGGGCACCCCCTGCAGAGCAGGGACAGCATTTTGACTTCCTAGGTCACAGGGCCTGTGACCCAGCCCTGCACCTTCTCAAGGCTCCGGATCCCGGTATGTCAGGCCCAGCGTAGCTCTGGCCTCCATTGCAGTACTCTGCCTTCCTTGGGGTGCAAGGAAGGCAGCCAGGTTGAGCCCACCCCTTCTCATAGGTCTGGCTGGGTTACCATGCCTGCCCCCCAAGCAGAGGCACTAGCCTCTCTCCAGTTTCCAGAGGAGGCATGAGGCCTGAGAGACCAGGGGACAATCGCAGTGCTGGGCTGGAGGGACGGCAGAGGGGCTGAGAGTGTGCATGTGTGTGCACATGCGTGTATGCGTGTGCTGTGTGTCTGTGTGTGTGTATTGGTTAGGAACTAAGGAAGTCACTGGCTGTGAGCACCTGAGCAAGTCAGTCCCCTCTCTATTCAGTCATCTGTCAAATGGCCTTACTATCCACCTCACCCCATAGGGTGGCTGTGAGGGTCTCACAAGTGACCCCCCCAAAAGCACTTGACATGTGCATGGCCTCCTGGCTCCTCGCAAGCAAGCGTCAGGATGGTCTCCTTGTGATCATCATTCTTAAGCTAGTGAGCATGTCAATGAACGGAGCGGATGGACGGGCCGGGTCATAGTCTTGTCTCCCAGTGCTGTATCCCCCGGTGTGATGTGCCTGGCGTGGTGTCTGATGTTTGGGTAGAGGGACTCGGGTCTTTCTGAGACCGGCCGAGAAATCCCCACCCACCTCACCTCTCATGAGATGGCGTTGCTTGTCTCACACATGAGCAGAAGAGGAGTTGGGTGGCCACTGAGTCGGGCCAGTAGGTAGGAGAGGGTGCTAAGTGGTCCAGAGAGGAGAAACCAAGACTCCCTGGTGTATCAAGGAAGGCTTCCTGGAGGAGGGGCCTCTGGGCTGAGCCTGGGAGTATGTGTAGGAGCTTTCTGGATGCAACAAGCCAAGCAGCGGGAAGGGCAGTCCAGCCTGAAGGGATGGGAGCCCTGAATGTTCTATTTGGTCAAATGAGTTAGGGAAGGGATGGACAGTTGGACTGAGGGCCATCTGTGCAGGTCCTTGAATGCCAGCCCAAGAACGGGAAGTCTCAGAGTTATAAACAAGATCCACTCCAAACTGTCTTCAAGTCAAATCTGTAGGTAAGTCATAACAGGTGCCTACCATTCTTATTCCGCCTTACTTTAGTGCAGAGAACCCCTGATGGCTGTAGTAGTTACGAGTTGGACTGCTAACCCCAAGGTCAGCAGTTTGAAACTCCTCAGGAGAAAGATAAAGGCTTTCTATTCCAGGACAGTGACAGTCTCGGAAACCCATAGGGGCAGATCTTCCCTGCCCTACAGGGCTCCTATGAGTGGGCATGGCTGGGTGGCAGTGCGTTTGGTTGGGTTTGCTTAGTGCTGGAGATAAGCCAGGTGGTGCCATGGGGTAAGCACAGGGATGCCAACCCCAGGTCTGAAATTCCACCCTCCACACACACACACCCCACCCTGGGCTGTTATGTGTCCGAATCCACTCCTCCATGGCAGTTGGTTTCATGCAAGAAAAAGTTAGGAGCCTCTTGGGTGATTTATAAGCTGCCCGTGGAGCTAGAGAAGGGAACAGTAATTAGAATGTGTTGCGCACAGGGGTCGGCTCACATCTCAAAGGGACGGCAAGTTTGCTCCGCTTGCTTCCCAGGGCAAGTCAAAAAGGACTTATCCACAAGCCAGCGAGGTTGTAGTCTCCAGGACCTCCTGCGCCTTCAACCTTGTCTTGGGAAGGATTCTAAGGAGGGAGTAGCTTGATCAAATTCGAGCAAGGTCCCTCCCACTGCAGCTTGAGAACAGGGTCATGGGTGGGTGGCCGGGCCCCTCCAGGAGGCCAGACGGGGCTGGGGTGAGTGCGGAAGGTGGGTCCCAGCCAGCCCTTTCCTGTAGACTTCCAGCTGGTGTGCTGGGGCTCACCTCGCGTGGGCAGCACCTCCCTGGGCTGGGCTGGGTAGCCTGGATCCCCCTCTCTCCGCTGCGACCCCCCTCCCCCAATGCCCCCAGCTCACTCAGCGCCGCCTTCTCGTCCACCTCTGCAGAAGGGTGCCATTTGGCGTCTAAATAGCTGTCTCTCGGCCGGGCGGGCGCAGAGGCAGGTAAGGAGGTTTAATTAAAATTAGTGCCTCTCTCCTGGCAATCACGGTGTTTATGAAGATGGGCCCGGCTGCCATTGTTCTGCCGAGGACTTAATCGAAGCTTAATGGATTGACCTAACATTCGATTTCCTCATTTCCATTGAGGCAGCCGCGGCAGCGTTCCCTTAAGCGTTTGCAATTTACCCACTGCTCCGCGCCAACAAAAGGCGGCCTGAATAGCAGCCCCACTCCAGGGGCCATTGTGCGCGGGGGCGCCTGCCTGAGTCACCGCTATTGGGACAACATTCTTTATGTCTTGCTGGAATGAAAGGATTATTCAAATATTCAATTAAACCGTGAAAAGGGGGCTTTTCTGAGAACCCGGGCGGGCTTCTCCGCAGAGTTAGCAGGCTGCTCTCTGAGGCGGGGGTGGTGGTGTGTGTGGGGTGAGGGATGGGTAGTAGAGTGTGGGGTTGCCATCTCGCAGCCCCTCCCACCTCCTGGATCGCTGGGGGATGGCCGCTCTACTCTCCAACCTGTGGGTGGCTGAGGCTGGGAGACAGGCACCGGGCCAAGTATCTCCCAGTCCCAGTCGCTCAGCAGCCCCAAGGTGCAGATGACCAACCCCGCAGGCTGAGTGGGGAGGTGACTTCCGCAAGGTCACCCAGCTGGGATGCTGAAGCTGGGATGTGAGAGTCGGAGCTGCTGTGGGGAGGGGTCTCCAGGTTTGTTTGTCCCACCTCTGCGCCGCGTCTGAAGGAGAGGGCATGGCGTTCTCTGGGGACAGGGGTTCTGTCACAGCTGTTCACAGCTGTTCACAGAGCCCTGCCCGCTCTTCCTTTAGACAGGAATGGAGGCTCAGAGGGGCACCTGAGTTGTCTGAGGCCAGAGTTGCCTCTCTGGGGAAAGCTAGGGCCCCAGAAGTGGAGGGCCTTGGATGAGACTTGGACAGGGAAGGTGCATGAATTTATCATGGGCACTCGCACAGGAACAGGTGCTCAAATTCCACCCAGGGGCCCTAGCAGGGACCACCAGTCCTCAGGTGAGCCTGGGTTTGGGAGTCAGGGAGACCTGGGTTTGAATTCTGGCCCCTCCTGACTCTCTGAGCCTGGCCCCTCCCACCTGTAAGACGGGATGCCCTATGCCTCTCATTGGGGCTTTACTGAGCTGGGTACAAGTTGCGGGGGTGGGTGGGCTGGATGGGGGTGGGGAGAGCAGGGGGCAGGAACTTGGGTCCTCAGTCGGAACTGGAGCAGCTGGGGCTCAATTAGCCATTATGCTTCCCCCTCCCAGCCTGTAGTCCATCTTATGGGTGCCACTAGGGGCTGAAGGCTCCATAGTGCTGCTAGAAGTGGGGGCCCATCCCTGGAAACCCATTTTTTTTCTGCTCTACTCCCCTGTGAGTCCCCCTCCCTCTTGTCCCTGGCTTGGTGCACTCGAGGACAGTAAATCCTGGTAAAGCCTCGGCCCTGGTCCTTCTGGGGCCCCACCCACCCACCTCTACTCCAGCCCCCCAGCCTTCCTCTCTGCCTCCATTCCCATCTGTTCTCTCTGGTCCCTGGACTGCTGTGTGTCCTTGAGCTGGTCCCTAGCCCTCTCTGGGCCCCCAGCCTCAGACTGTGTATCCCAAGAGAATTGTCCAGGCCCGGAGAAGGCGAGGGACAGGATGGCAGATGAAACAATTAAGTTGGAAAGATGCTGGGATGGGGATCAGTCCAGGAGGCATCCCTTGCTCCCCGGAAGCTAGCCAGGTGGGAAGACTTCCTTTCCATGTGTCTGGAATCAGCCAGACTAGGAAGCAGGGTTGTTGCCCATGGTTGGGCAGGTTGTTCCCTGCACAAGGGCATGTACGCCTGGGGCATGTACACCGGGGATGGTG